ACATACACCCACACCTATACATACACATACACCTAAGTGCACATACACCTATATACACATACACCTACACCTATACACACACCTACACCTATACATGCACATACACCTACATCTATACATGCACATACACCTGGCATCCATACCCACAATCTCTCACCCTCTCTGAACCTCAGATTCATCTTATATGCAGCAGAACACCCTCCAACAAAAGTTGCAAGGACAACACATGAAGACTCTCAAAGAACTGACCTTCCTGTGAGCAGGTCCAGGGGAAGAAGAGAGGCAGAAGTTCCAGACAGGAAGGAAGCTGTGTTAACTGGTCCCTGGGTAACAGTCCCTAGGGGCAGGAAGTGCCCTGAGGTTTTGTTATGTATCAGGGAAGGAGACTTCCGTGACTTCTCTAAAGAAGTCTGGGCTAAGGACCAGGGACTAGGCTCCCAGAGCTGACCTGTGTCCTTGGGACAAAGACATAACTCTTACCCTAGCTGTACATCAATGTGGAAAAAGCTGTTTCACAATCACTGCCTCACAGAAAGTGCCAGCTGGCTCCAGCTGGGCAGAGTGGAGGGAGCGAGGGAGGGAAGAGTGGAGCAGCCAGGGACAGCAGCAACAGGGACCACAGCAGCAGGGACCATAGCAACAGGTTCTAATGAGGGCCAGCAAGACATCCAGGACCCAAGGGTATACTGCTAAACATCAAGAGACCGAGAAAGCGTGATACAATGATGTGATTTACACAGAACAAAACAACAACAGATAAGAAACACACAGAGGAAAACATGGAGCCAGCAAGACAGCGTGGCACACAAGCCTGATGACAAGACTTTGATCCCATAAGTTGTTCTCTGACTACGCTGTGTGCACAGGCTATGCAGGCTATGATATGTGCTCACACTCACACACATATTACACACAAATCCCCCTAAATCCCAGCACTTGGGAGGCAGAGGTAAGTGGATCTCTACAGGTTCAAGTTCAGCTTGGTCTATCAAGTTCCAGGCTAGCCAGGACTGTACAGTGCCACCCTGTCTGAAAATGTAATAAACTTTTAAAAATAGAGAAAAAAATAAAAGATGTTCCAAGGGCAAACACCAGGCGGCTGCATGATATGGCTGTATGATACATGTTAGGGGTACTGTCTGAGGTCTGGGTTTCCTTATCCTCTCCATTGTTCCTGGGGATCACAGGGTGGCTCCTGCAGATGTTGGACAAGTGTTCCACCCCTCAGCCAGGCCTCTTCATATTTTGGACAGGGTTTTACTAAGCGGTCCAGGCATCACTTAGCTCCATTGGTAGCTTCCCACACTTCCCATCCTACTGTCTTAGTCCCAAGTACCCAAGGCTACAGGCTTGTGCCACCAGCCCTAGCTTGAACCTGGGACTCTTTATTTTTTGAGTGGCCAGATGTGTGTGCTGGAAATTGAACTTGAGTTCTCTGCAAGAGGATCAAGCACTCTCAATGGCTAAGCCATCTCCCCAGCCCTGAGACTGGGACTGTTCTCTACTAAGGGCACAGACTAGGAAAGGGAGGAATACGTACTGAGGGTGTACTGTTTGGTGGGATTGATGGGGATGAGGCATTAAACATGTGAGGATGATAAAGAGACACGAGCCCAGAGCTAACGGGTGACATTAAGCTCCAATCACCACAAATCTCATCAGGATCATCAATCACCCAGTGGCTAAACTTTACTGAGCTAGTCAGGTATAATTCCAGTACTCAGGAGGCTGATGGAGGATGGCTATGAGTTCCAGGCAGGGCTAGATTACAGAATGACCTCTGGGTCAGCGTCAAAACACAAAACAAAATGAAAAACATGGTGTATGTTTTTAATTCCAGCACTTGGGGGGCAGAGACTGGTCTGGTCTACAGAGTGAGTTCTAGGTCAGCCAGGGTTATACAGAGAAACCCTGTCTCAAAAAAATAAAAACGCAAACAAACAAAAAACCCTCTAACAAACAAAAAAAGAGAAAGAATGAAAGAAAGAAAAGAAAAGCAGTTCCACATCCTAGACCAAAAATTTACTAAGTCACTATGTATCAGAAACATCTATAAACTTCGCCCCAGAGAGTAAGGGGCCATTATTCATTCCCGTGGAGGCATAAGAGGAAGCCGAGGCTTAGAAGTCACTTGCCAGGGCCAGCAGCAGGGTTGGGCTTCAGGCCCACGGGTGGAAAACCTGTGGCCTTTTCTCATGCACGGGCAGTCCGTGTAGCCCCTTGCGTGGCCCCAGCACGGGCAGTCCTTGTAGCCCCTTGCATGGCCCCACACGCCCTGCCCAGGTTGCCATGTGTACCTTTCAGCATCTTCACAGCCACGGTGCTGGTTTGGTCAGGCCGGGAGGGATCCATGCCAAACGCTTCTGCACGGACGACTTGCCCAAAGCAGCCCTCACCCAGGGGCTTTCCGAGCACCAGCCTGGAGACCAAGAAGACTCATGCTCAGATCTGTGGGTACCACTCCTGAGCTGGCACCCCCATTCTTAGCCTGCTCAGTGTACCTGTCCCGGGGGAATTCCCAAAGTGGGTCGAGAGGTAGGTCTAGACTCACAAGGCCCGTGAGCAAGGGCGGGCCACTGGAGGAGAGTCGGACACCTCGCACCAGGGACAAGCTTGATTTGCCAGAGGACCTCGACTCCAAAGAGAACTGCAAAGTGGGAGATTTGTTCTGCCTGCTGGGGTCAGGCTGAGAGCCATACATGGCGGGGTCTGGGGAACAGGCACAGTACCTGTCGGGCCAAAGGGAAACGGGACAGCTTTTGTACAGTGACAGGCTGGCGAGAGTGGTGGCCGTGGGTCGCTTGTCGGTGATACACCCAGGCCAGCAGCAGGAGCACAACCAAAGCCAGCGAGCCAGATACATATAGGATGATATCTGTGTATCTGGCCTCAGGTGTTGCTGTTGTCCATGTGAGGTCTTCCTCTGCTCGTTAGATGAACGTAGACAGAGAAAATATGCAGTCAGTGGTCAGATTCACCAGCCTTTCCCCCCAGCTTAGGTCCCCACAGTTACTAACACAAATAGGGACACACACTGAAGAAGTCATAGTTATCCATAGTCTTATGTCCCCGAGGGTCACATGGACAGTCAAGTAAAATCAAATACCTATCCCTGCTGAACTGAGTGAGAGCATTCACAGTGCCAACAAACAAATACTATATTCCCACATGCCAAGGAAACTGACTACCTAATAGGCTGCAATGGCCCAGAGAGGAGTCCTGTAGCCCCGCCCCAGGACCCTCTCAGGCTCTCACCTGGTAGCACCGTGAGCCAGGCTGACTGGTAAGAGAGACCGATGGAGTTGCCCGCCAGACAGGTGTACTCTCCAGCGTCCTCAGCGGACACGTTCCTCAGATACAAGACCTCCACCTCTGAGCTATTGATGTCTGTTGTCTGAAGCAGTGGACACACCAGGTCACTCTGGGCCACACTACAGCTGGGAGGGTAGTTGGGTAGCATCCCACCCTAATAGGGAAAGAATGGGGCCCAGCCCGGGCACTAGCAGGAAGCACACCTTCAGGACTTGTACGTAGGGGAAGCCATCGGCGCCGAAGCTGCTGCCGTTGACGACGATGTGTTTCAGCCACTGGATGTGGGGCTGCGCGTCACTGTACACCTTACACAGTAGCTCCACGTTGCTGCCGACCACAGCTGTGGTGTTGGCTGGGAGCCCCGCCTGCAGGATGGGCCGGTGCGGGGACCGCTCTGGGGGCCAGGCCAGGCCGTCAACCCTGACCAGTGGTACCCACGGAATCACCCAGTTTACCTGCCCCCAGCCGCCCTCCTACCTACTACAGGGAAAGGACCTTCTGGACACACAGCTCAGATCTCGTCTATCTTCTGTTTACCTTCCTTGAACTTTTTATGGCTTTACTGTCTTTGGGTCTAGGGAAGCTTCTTAGACTCGCATTCAAAAATGTCCACAGCCTGTCCCCCACCCCCACAAATGCTGCACCCATGGCGTATACCTGCCCACAAATGCACTTAAAAACTGAACTCAGCCTGTGCCATCTGCCTGGATGCCCTTCTCCCGTTCCCTTTAGACAGACTTCTGCTCCTTCAGCCCACACCCCCACCCACTTCCTTCTGACGCTTGGGGCTGTTTCACACATCTGAAACTGACTCCATCTAGTTTCCAACACAAGATAAGACAAGATACCCACCCTTGTGGCAAGACAGGGCCGTGAAGATAAGCCAAATTCTTTGTCCCACCTCCCGAGCCCATCCACTCACCCAGCACATCCAGCAGATAGCTGTAGCGAATGCTACCCAGAGGGTTCTCCACAAGGCACGTGTATGTGCCACGGTCTGAGGGCACCACACTTTCCATCACCAGACTCCAGTGTTGGTGGCGAAGCTGGAAGCAGACAGGGGTAGAGGAAGTGTCTGTAGGGGACCAGGAAAGCCAGGACAGGGAGATGACAGAATCTGCCTATGGGGCTCTTCTCAATCTTCCTAGTTCCTGAGAGGATCAGGCCAAGGCCAGAGATCCCTGGACAGAAAAAAAAAGGCTCTAAGAAGTGTCTCCATGGGGCTGGAGGCATTGTTTAGTAGTTAAGAACGCTATTGCTCTTCCAGAGGTCCCAGATTTGATTCCCAGCATCTACATGGTGGTGGTTCACATCCAGCTGTAACTCCAGTTCCTGGGGATCTGACATTCCTGTGTAGCAAGCATGGTGGTGCACACCTTTAAATCCAACACTTGGAAGTCAGTGAAGGGCAGAAGGACATGAATTCAAGGTTAGCCTGGTTTACAGATGGAGTTCCAAGCTACTCAAGACTACTACACAGCGAGATCCTGTCAAATCAACAAACAAAACAAACACCACAAAACAACTCCCCCACCACCACCAAAACAAAACAAAACAAAACAAAACAAAAAAACAAAACCATGTGAGCCCTGGTTTGAGTCTTTGAAGTTTAACTATACCCTACCCAGGAGTGCTCCCTGTGCTAGTCTTTGCTGACTCTCAGTCTCAGTTTCCTCCTGACAGCATGCTAAAGCCTACTGTTCAATGTTTCTTCCCATCTTAAAGGAGATGCTACCCAGGAGGCTGGGGTTGGAGAAAGCTTGTACTCTATAATGACACCCTATCTCAAAAACCAGCATCACTGGGGGCTGGAGAGGTGGCTCAGCGGTTAAGAGCACTGTCTGCTCTTCCAGAGGTCCTGAGTTCAA